AAAGTCATCATTTGGCAACCACCAGGTAATGATTAATTCAGCCAGGAAGCATCTCAGGATGCTAACTGGTGTGTAAAGATGCTCATTAATGTAGTAGTAAAAAATTACAAACTTTACAGTGGAGAAATTAAGTATCATCTAAAACAAGTGATCAAAATTAATAAACCACAATATGATGCACTTAAAAGGACACAGTTCTATTTCTGTGATAGTCCTGCCAGTCTAATTATGAAGAAACATGGGAAAATCACAAATTAAGGGAAATATTATAACTGGCCTACATGTTTCATGACCTCAATATATTTGAAAGGCTAGTCAAGAATTTGTGTCGCACTGTAAACATAGCCAAATACAGATGGCTGGAGAGGTCATAGATCCTAGAGAAAACCCTATCTCTGTCACATCCCTAGATAAATGTAATGTCTTACTGTATGCTAAATATGGATCCTTATATTTACAGACAAGTATATCATGCACTACTCATCAAAGAATCGTCTTTTTGCAACAGATGGAGACTCTCACAGAATTCCACAACTGGTCACACACAGAAAATAAATGTCTAAGAGATGCCCAACCCGAAGATACACATCTACAGTGGAACCTCTACAGTTAAGGCTCATGGAACATAGTGGAACAGGGAGCAGAGAGAATACTAATGTAGCTCTAAACTCTCATCAGTGAAGCTTCCTTATCCAACAGAGTATGACGCACACAGACAGGCACAACTGGCCAAAGTATAGAGAGTAAGAGACTGCAGAGAGCATGTCTCTGAATAGGACGCCTATATTAAAACCCAACACCCTTGGCTCGGGGACCACTGAGGAAGAGGGGGTGGAAGGATTCTAAGAGCCAGGGGTTGTGCATGATCATAAGGAAACAGAGTTTTCCAGGCCTTTGGGAACTTGCTCATATGAACTTAGAGCAATGGTGTCAGCATGTACAAGATCCATGCAAACTTAGACAAAAACCCAGCATAGAACTGAGGAGATGGGTAGCAGGCTCCAACCTTAGCTGAAGAACTATTGGCACATGATTACTGCTGGGTGAGAAACAGTTGATCTTCTTTAAAGGAAAGACTTTAGATTGGCTGACTAGACTCCAATGGAGGAACTTGCACTGAGGGACATGTGGGTACAAATGCTTGACTGGATAGACCTTAACATATATGACAGATTAAAAAAAGGGTACTAGAGACACGATAACTAAATGCATTATTCCAGATTAGATTTTTTTTTTACTTGCCTCAAAGGCCAGCAATAAAACAATTAGTAGGCTATAGGAAAGATTAGATACCAATATTATAATAATATTCTGATTTTGATAATTTTACTATGAGCATAAAGGAAATAGATTCATTTTTTAGGAAATACAAATTTAAGTATTCAGGGTAAAGGAGTTACAACATCTGTAATGAACATTCAAATGGTTAAAAAAAAAAGCACTTATTCTAGACTTATGAAAGAAAAAGGGAACCTCTTTAGGAAGTAACAAAAATACATAAAGAACATGGTGTTAAAAAAAAGTCACAATTTTCAGAGAGGTCAAGAAACTAATCAACAGCCATGGGAGGTGGTTCCTGGGAGGGGTGGTGGAATGCAGTGATAATGAAGAGGAAAGGGGAAAATTAGAGTAGGAAAAATTTAATGAGGTGAGGAATGGGAGAGCACGGCAGAGGAGGGAGTGTGTGGTGGTACAAGTAACACTAAAGGCCTTTAGAAAAAGCCATATGGAAATCTACCACTACAGAAGCTTCTTGAAGTATATACATATATATCATAAAGAGATTAAAAGGAGTTACCCTGTAACAGGAGAATATTGCTCCAGCCAGACCTCATAGGCTAACAGAAAACAAATAAAAAACCCCTAAATGCCAGGAATGTACTTGTTCTCAAGAAGCTGTTGACCAGGGATTCCATAGACCCTCAAACAATACTGACCATTGCCCCTCTTTTGGTTACCTACCAGAATTTGATGTTAAGACCCTATTGCTGAAGACATTACAAACATAAGCTATAGAATAAACAAGAAGTCTAGTTGGTGCTGACTTCAGAGCCTCATCTCTACTGGCTAGCATCCATAGTGCTGGAAGGTGCTATGCATACTACTGGAAGGAAAAAATAATCATCAACTCTACCCAGCTATGAATCCTGTAAACACAGTAACAACTGGCCTGGCAAGATATGTCCATTGGTGGCACAGTGGCACAAGTATTATGGGAGTAACCAGCACTCTTTAATTGGATTTAAGGTCCACTTCCTAGGATGAAGCCCATAGCTGACAGTTATCAGGCTTAGGAACCTGAGGCTAAACACATCACAACATAGGGAATAAACTAATATGTTTTCTACTAAATACTTATCATAGTAAACTGACTGCTAATGACTTATACCCAGAGATTATTACATCTCTCAGCTCCTTATGCAGCAGGTGATTTGGTGATTATAACACAGAAACCCACAACTGGCCAATGTACAGAGAGCAAGAGGCTACAGACTGCTTATTCCTGAATAGGACATCTATATCAAACTTCTGCCTCCCAAAGCTCAGGGATCATTGAGGAAGAGGGGGTGGAAAGATTCTAAGAGCTAGAGGTGGTGGATGACCACAAGGCAAGTTTTCCAGGCAGATTGTCAGTTACTCACATGAACATACAGCAATGGTGACAGCATGCACAAATCCATCCAAGCTTGAACCAGACAAAATCCCAGCAGACATGAAGTGGGTAAGAACCCCCAACAGAACCTGAGGAAATCATGGAAACTGATGGCTGCTGGGAGGGGCAGAGGAAGTCTCTTTCAAGGATAGGATTCTTAGTATGGTTTACATAGTGAGTTCCAGGCCAGCTGGGGTTATAGGGAGATCCTATCTCAAAAAAGCAAAAAGCAGGAAAAAAAAAAAAAGCCAGAAAAAAAAATGGAGGTATGGATAGGGGAAAGGATCTAAATATCAAATTATATTGTATGTAAATTACAAAAATTCAATTAAAAATCATAATTTTGCAAGCATTCTAATAATTATTCAGATAGGAATTAACAAAAAATGTTGTATTTAGGAGGGGCAGGTATAAGGAATAGGATAATCAATATAGTCTCAAAGTTCCTTCTCACAAATTTCTTAATTGCAAAAAGAAAAATAGCACTATACAGTCGAGAAAGTGGATCTTACTATGATCCAAATTCACATCACCAATAAGTGACATTCTCTGCATATGGATGTGATGTCTAGGAAAGAGCATTTAGTATTCCCATCCACACTGTGCAAGCCACATCTGACCATGAGGTGACAAAAGAAAAACTCCAACTAGTCTATAGTATTCGATTGTTCAAAGAATCAATATTATAAGACATAAAAAGGCAAAGGAATTGTTCCAGATTAGTCATGATATGCAACTTAAAACCCTGGTTGGATCCTATGGCTGAAAATAAATTAGTGGAACTAATGAAATTGGAACATAGACTGCCAACTACACAAAAATACTATATAAATGTTAAATTCATAAATTTACTAGCTACACTTAGATAAGATTAAACGCCTGTTTTTATGAAGTATATGTGTGGTTTAAAGGGAAAACAGTATGGTCTGCACTATATTCTCAAATGGGTCAAAGAAAAAATTTTAAGAAATAGAAAGGGATAAAGCAAATACGTAAACATTAAAAGAAACCTAAACAATGAGTTTTACTTAAAGTTCCCCAAACACAGAATACTAAATTTTTAGTACTATCTATATTCTCACAGGTATGGGAACTAGGAGCCAACAGACATTAGGAAGTTGGCACAAGGGCAGGAAGGGCTGAGTCTCTTCCCAGAGAAACTATCAGAGCTCCTCTTTTCATCCCTTTGGCATTCACTTTGATAAAAGTTATTCTTGACTTTAATTCTACCATCTTGCTATTGCTTATTTTTATGTCTTCCTTTTAAAAAGTATTTTATAGTTTTCGAACTTTATCACCTAGTAGGTACTTTTCAACTTATGAATCTTATTATTTAACATGAATATGAATTCTTATGTTCTGTTCTGAGGTATGATACAAAAATCTCTGGAGAAGTTGCAACTGGCCACTGGATCTACGCATGTAAGGAAGCTACTCAAGGTGAATTCATAAAAAATGAGTTATGCCAAGTTCAGGTCCAGACCCTGAGTAGGGTACTTTTCTCAAAGTTAATTATTAACTTTTAATGGATCTGTGACCTACTGGACCCTAATCCTGGCACTTGGGAGGCAGAGGCAGGTGGATCTCTGTGAGTTCAAGGCCAGCCTGGTCTACATAGTGAGTTCCAGGACAGCTGGGGCTACAGGGAGACCTGTCTCAAAAAGACCAAAAAAAAAAAAAAAAAAGTTGTGTTACGATTTTAATTCAAAATACCAAACTGATTAAAGCACAGGAGCATACTTTTGTCCTCAGAGACATTATTTGTATTTTGCACTATCCTTATAATCTTTCTGGTATACACAAATAACAATGGATTCTAGAAAATTACTGTTCGAAAAAAATCTTGTAGAGCCAGGTGTGGTGGCACATAATCTCAGCACTCAAGAGGTAGACGCAGAAAGATCTCTATGAGTTCTGGGCCAACCTGGTCTACATAGTGAGTTCCAGGTCAGCCAGGGCTACATAGTGAGACACTGTCTCAAAAAAAAAATGGAAGGGGGGGCAGGGGGGAAATACAAACCTTTAAATATTCTTCACAGTAATTGTGAGACAATAAAAAGACAATGTCTATTTTTCATTATCTAGAGTAATTACCTTATATAATATATGCACACATATTTTTTATTTTTTACAGATATAAAGATATTACAGGTGGAAATAGGGAACACTCATTTAAAGGTCTCCTAGTAGGCTGCAGATTTTAAAAGTAGATGGTCCAAACCTAAGAAGTCAGTATAAGAAAAATCTTTACTTGACATCTCAAAGTAGTCTTCTAGCACCCTACAATATTTAAGAAAAAAAAAGAACGAAAGAAAAGGCAAAAGAAAAGAGAGAGGATGAGCCAAGATGTTTGTTTTGTTTCATTTATTTCTTTGGGTGTGGAGAGGTTAAAAAAGTTTCTTTACTGCCTCAGTTTCCCAAAAAGTACATTCATTTTCATTACCTAAGAACACGGGCAGAAACTCATGGACAAACTGCTTCTTCCAGATTTCATAACAATCTGAATTCAAGATATGTATAATATTACTTTTCTGAAATCCAGTGTATTCATTTCAACAAATGAGTGCTCCTTGGGTCCTTGTTCATATGTGAAAGGAACTGGAACTTAAATTAAAAAATGAAAAATGCAACTTGTCTTTGATTTGGGTCTAGACTAACGGTTACTAACGAACCATTCAGGAACAACCGTCTTAAACACTTAAATAGCCAATGAAACTGTAATTAATTAAGGGAGTGTCGATTCTAAGAACTATGGCATTCATAAAAAAGTCTGAATGTCAAGTTCTGAGCAAAGTGTCAATAATTTCACATTTGTAATAGCTATAAATAAAATACATGGATCAGATAATTATATGAACAATGTTAAACAAAAAGTGCATACAGAACACAGAAATATCTTTTTCATTAATTTTGTAACTTATTCTAGTTCAATTGTCTTGAAACAGGTTATTTTGTAAGATGAATATCTGTTATGCTCTTTGAAAAGTCAAAGCAGAAAGCATAGGAGGCCAGAAACTTCATCAGTTCAATCTAGACAGAAGTCTGCTTGTAGTTTTTGGTATCCAAAACCTTTTTGCCACACATTGCACAGATGCCTGAAACAAAAGAAAACATGTGAGCAATCAATTAGTACCAATTGTTTGGTTTATTTATTTTAATCCAGAGCTTAAAATTTCAGCTTTAGTGGAGCTGGACAGATGGCTCAGTAGTTAAGAGCACTTGCTCTGCAATCATGAGGATTGGAATTCATATCCCAACACCCACATAACAAGCTGGGCATCCCCACAAATGCCTGTAACTCCAGATCCAAGGGGGATGGAGACAGAGGGTCCTTGGGGCTTGCTGGCTTCTAGCCTGAGAAAACAGGAGCTCTGGATTCAGGGAGTGACCCAGTCTCAAAAAGGAATAGGTGCAGACTGATACAGGACGACAAGTAATGCCTTCTTCTGGTCTCTGTGTGCATGCCCAAGTGTGTGCACCTGCACACATATGCGCACAAACACTCAGACACACAGACAAAAATCTTAAAAACTTCACTTAGCATCATAAAAGAGAAAAGAAACATCATTTTGATTTCATTATGAACACATTTTAAAATACATTTTTTTTGCATTAAAAAAGTGTATTTGACCAACAGAATTTATGAAAGGCTACTCCTTTTCTATTATCCAGAGCAGCAACAAATGAAGAAGATTTGATATAAAGAGAAAAATGGAGCAAAATAAACTTACCCTTTTTGTAAGCGCAGCCTTGGCAGTAATGAGAACCTGGCTGATGCACAGAACTTTTACAAATTCTGCAAGTGGAGAACTTATTCTTTCCATATGGATCAAATCTAGAGATTTTGTTTTTAAAGAAAGACATAAAAAATGTATACCACAGTAGAGACACTTTTAATTCCTTGTAAACAACACTAAGGATCCATGTACGCTCACCATTCCTTCTATCAAATTCTTTAAGTGACAGGCATTTTCTGGCTGACTACTGTGTAATACACCTCTGTCCTTCCATGTAAGTTGCAGACTTATGAAGAGTCAATCATATTTATCACCATTCCTTCTATCAAATTCTTTAAGTGACAGGCATTTTCTGGCTGACTACCGTGTAATACACCTCTGTCCTTCCATGTAAGTTGCAGACTTATGAAGAGTCAATCATATTTATTTTCAAACGTGTCCCTATTTGTCATTCTATTTGTATAAAAATATTATAAAAACTGATGAAATATGAGTGTAAACGACTGACTCCATAAAAATCTAACTTACTGATTTAGGACGACTAGGTAAGCAGGAACCATTAAAACTGCTATTGAATTAGGTATGGGTAAGCCAATTATTAAAAATGGGGAAAATTATAAGGGTAAGAACTCCACACTTTACAAGTATTAAAGTTTTTTCTTTTTAAAGATTCATTTTTTAATTTATGTATATGTGTGTATGTCTAAGTCATGTGCATGCAGACAGATGCCTTTGAAAGTCAGAAGAGGGGGTTAGGTCTCTTGCAGCTGGAGTTAAATGTGATTGTGAACTGCCTGATGTGGATGCTAGAAACTTGGATCCTCTGATGAGCACCAAGTGCTTAACCACTGTGCCATCTCTCCAGTTCCTTCCTACCCTCCCCCCTTTTTTTGTAAGCCCAGGCTGATCTTGAACTCCTAATCTTTTGCCCCATCACCTAAGTGCTAGGATTGTAGGCATGTGGCACCATGCCTGGCTTAGTTTTAGTTTTTGCTTCACTCTGAAGATACCAATGCTTATGATGGTTTATGTGAGGAAAATGACATAAAACTCTTGTCAGTAGACTCATACTCAAATTCTTTATCTCAATACCAAATGATGGATGAATACGTCTACAGTAATGTGCTTTAAAATAAGGTATGTGCATCTTCTACTGACTGCCTACTTTAGCATACATTTTCAGTGGACTGCCTTAATTCCTTTGGGTAAAGGGGTTTCTACTATATGAAAATGCTAGTCTATAGGAACTGGAGTGCAAAATAACTTTTGAAGAAATACTTCTCCCCAAATTGACAATAATGCTCTGATTTAAAACTGCTTTCCTAACTATAAAATAAATTTTGTATTTATCCTGTATAGTATCACAGATCTGGTATCTTGTCGTGGGGTATATAGCACAATAGCTCAGTTTCTTTATTTTATTAAACAAACAAATACTTTTTTTTTTAAAGACAGAGTCTGGCCATGTAGCTCAGGTTGTCCTAGAGTTCACTACCTTCCTTCCTCAGTTTCCAAAGTGCTGGGATTTAGAACATGCATCACCAAGGACAGCTAAGACATTAGCTGTTAAAAAGGTTGACTTTTTCAAACTCAAGAGAATCACTTTATTCCCACAAGAGATGATAAGGTCAGTTTGTTTGGATCTGTATGTCTGGAGAATCTTTTTCTTAAACTGTATTTTTATTATTCTTAGATGAAATTTTAATCTCTGAACTCATAATTAATTGACAGAGTTTCTTACTTAATGATATATCTTATAAATAATGGTATTGGAGAGTCAATGTAGTATTTCTAAAGTGAAATATCTAGAGTACCCAAAAGTAATAGCTACATTTTAATGACATCAGAGTAAGTTTGAGAGTATAAAGGAAGTGAAAGTATATAAAACTGAACAATTTATATAAATTTATATAAATAACTTAGAGAACATAGAGTCGATCAACAATTTATAGTATGATGCTATACTGAACAGTAAGTCTATTATGCTGTTTTTAATCAATTCTTTAATAAGCACCTACTACATGCTAGATACTCTATATATAAAGCTTTATTATTACTTCTAATCCTTGGGATGATGTCACATAATGAGTGTTTATTCATTTCTCAGATATCTACTGAGTGCCTACCATATTCCAAGTAGTGTTCTAAATACCAAAGATGAATGCTCAGGCAGCACATTTCCTGCCCTCATCAAGCTCATACGCATGTGAACAGAGAAATAAGACGCAATCCAATAAAACAAGCAAGGTTTTCAGATAAGTAATAGTAATAGTACTACAGAGAAAATTCCAACTGAAAACTGTAATGGAGGTGAAGGTAAAGGATGAAAAAATTAGTTTAAATGTTGGTTAAGGACTCCTTTTTGAGGAGGTGACATCTCAGCCTAGACTCAAGTAACAAGGAGTGAAATATGTAAACTCTGAGGGAGGACTCTTGAGGGAGCAGCAAGCATAAGCTTCTTTAGATGGACGAGGGCTTGGCATATCTAATGAGGAGGAAGAGGGTACAGTGGGAATTCAGAAGAGAGAGATGTCATATTATGGAGAACCTTATTGTTAAGACCATGGTAGAGCACTTAGATTGTACATGGAAAAGAAAATCAATGGAGGATTTTAAGCAAAGGAATGACTTTTCTAAAGATCATTCTGGTCAGTATTAGACAACAGTGGAAACAAGAAAAAGCAAAGAAAAAAAGAAAAAGAAAAAAAGAAAAAGAAAAAGCAAGGAAATGGCTAGAGAATTCTTTAAATATACAAGAAATAACAGTGGTTCGGACCAGAGCAATAGCAGGATCATATAGATCCAAACTGTATTTTAGAGGTAGATCCAAAGACCCTGCTGATGAAGTAGAGGAAGGGGTAGAATCAGCAGCTTTTGAGTGTCAGCAAATATGAGTAGACAGTTGGTGTTACTTATGATGAAAAGACTGAAGGAAAAAGAGGTTGCCTATTAGACATCAAATTAGTGTTTAGATTTCTGAAAACTTCTGTTGTGAGAAGAAGCAAGGAAACGGGATGGCAGTGCGAAGGGTTTGTGGAATTAAAATTTTTTTTGGTCTTTTTGAGACAGGTCTTTGCATAGCCCCAGCTGGCCTGGAACTCACTGTGTATGTAGACCAGGCTGGCCTCAGAGATCCGCATGCCTCTGCCTCCCAACAGCTGGGATGAAAGGCGTGTGTCACCACGCCCAGTGTGTCAAGATTAGAGTTTTAAAGCTGGGAGACATTTTATCTTCAGATGAAAGAGTATAATTCAGAAAGCTAAAGAAACTGCTGTAAGTTGTTTAAGTTCACATGGCTATAAAGAAAGAGAATCTAGATTCAAATTTAGGTCTGACATGAAAGCTTATGATTCTTCCACATGTCCTTGGTGCCTTTGATTTGTAGGCTAATTAATAAGTAGATAAAATAGAAGTTTTCTGGAAAAATTACATAAAGAAAGTCACATTAATAATCTTCATTAACTGGTATGGTAAGGAGGAACAGGGTGAAACCAGCAGGTTACAGAAGATAGTCTGCCTTTGTGTGCCAGCACTACGTAACCCTATGTATTATCACAATTGGAATCATGCACAATAAATCTACTCTAAGAGCTTTAATATTTAAAAAGTGAAAATTTATGATTGATCTATGGATGTTCTTACCTACCTTGCTTTTTTTGAAGTCAAAGCTTTATTTTCGTTCAGCTTTCTTCCACCACTTTCTATATATTAAAACAAATGGATATACATATTAGTGGGGTTTAATTGTATACATTTGACATATAATTTCTAATATTTGGGAATTAGTTTAAAAAATACACTCATTTCTACCAACAGAATACCCTGTGTCTAAATTTTGAAAATCCTCATACAATAGCCTAGTTCTTAAGGTACTATTTAAAAATTACTAGGGAAACAATAAACACTTGTATAAAATACAGTCATTTCATTACCCAGTTTCATAGTAGCACTTTAGGAATGGGCTTACATCTTTGTGAGCTCTGTAAAATCTAAAAGCCTCTACTTTGGTGTCAGATTGAATACAGTAAAAAGATTGGGTTTCCCCCCCATGGAAGACATACTTCACTGTATATATTCAATAATAATGCAAGTGGAAACAGTTTACGTTTGTGCAAGACCATTAAGTGAGAGAGGAAAATTATATATAGACTTTATAAGCTGAATCAAAGTCATAGCTTGAAATAATTTAATAATTTTGCTTTTGACCATATTAGGAGTCCATACATGTAACTCAGGGAACTAAAGAGAAGCTATTACCTCATTGGGGGAAATCCAGTATTCCTTAGTGTTTAATAGATGAGACAGATTGCACTTAACATTTCACTTTGCAAATAATCTAAAAGCTAAACCACTATTTATACAAGTATTTGATTCAATGTCCATTTTATTTCTTATTTTTATTTTATATGTATGAATGTAATGCCTGCATATAGGTAGGTGCACCTGTGTTCTGCAACACCGGCAGAGGTCAGAAGAGGGTGTCGGATCCCATGGACCTGGACTTATAGAGGGTTGTTAGCTGACATGTGGGTGCTAGGACTCTAGTCTGGGTCCTCTGTAAGAGCAGCCAGTCTGCTTAACAATTGAGCCCTCTCTCTAGCCCTCTCAATTTCTATTTTTTAACAGAAAAAAGTACCTGTGGTATTCCTTGCACCATCTTTCCACGTATCTGGAGTGATAACTGTACCAAGTTTCTTTTCACCTGTATGAAAATACAATAATGAAACTCATTACTTTATAAACTAATTACAAAATAGTTATCAAAAAATACTAAATATACTACTATACCACACCTGAGGCTTATAATGGCATCGACAGTCTTGTTATAGTAGGAGCCTGCGAATGCTGGAGTAGAAACCAGTGAAGGAAAACCTAAGCTTATAATTGTAAGCAATGGATAAATGATCCTAAATAAAATTTGTAGGACAATAAGAAGCTCTATAGTGGGCTTTCACTGTTTAGACTGTAAACAAATCTGACAAATCTATGTATTTCATCAACACTAATTACCTAGGATGTGAAAATCACTATATACGGTACTAATGAAAAGAAAATCACAAATCAAAGATCGAGATTTCAGGGAGCTTACACCCAAGTTCATTAGTGTTTTAAAAGCTTATCTGAGTTCCATAGGCAGATCACAGGAGATGAATGAACTAGGTCAAGTTATAACAAACGTGTGTGTGTGCACGTGTTTGTGTTTATAAATTTTTTTTCTAGTTAAGAATTTATAGCTTTTGCTGGGCAGGGTGGCACACCCCTTTAGTCCCAGCATTTGGGAGGCAAGAGGCAGGCAGATTTCTGTGAGTTCAAGGCCAGCCTAGTCTACATAGTGAGTTCCAGGCCAGCTGGGGGCTACAGAAAGACCCTGTCTCAAAAAGAACAACAACAAAAAAATAGTTTATAGCTTTTGTCAGATTCCCAAAGAGATCAGAGACTTTCAAAATAGTTAAGAACTCTTCGACTCAAATATAAGCTAGAAAAAAAAATATTAACAATTGTAAACTAAAAGAAGGTCTAAACGTGGCAATGGAAGTATGAAATGAAACTACATAGATAAAGCACATCATAAAGAAAGGCATGGGAAGTTCAGGGGACATCAGTACACAAACTAATCAGGCTGACACAAGTGTGAAAGGGGTAAGGGTTGATGATGAAGTTGGAGAGATAAGCTAAGGCCTTATCTGTGGAGGGTCCCGAATGTCAGGATCCCAAATAGCCAAGGTTATTTCTTCCTGCTTAAGTAGGAAAAAGTTCAGGGTAGAGAAATGAATTAGACATTCATTGGTATTAGATGTGTAACTTGAGGCCAAACATTTCCAAAAGAGTCTAACAGTGCCAGAGAAATAAAAGACCCAAAGAAAGTTCCTGGAACTTAGTAAATGGGAGTTTACTGGTTAACTTTTAAAAGTTCTTTCAGTAGTATAAAGTCACTGTGTATTTGTAAAGTGCTAAGAAATAACTAAAAATCTAGAGCTAAGCATAACTAAGTTTTTCAAATACTTATGACACAAAGAAAGATGAGATTGTAGCTTTTTATATGAGCAAGATTTCAGCTTACTTACAGGGTGAGAGTAATGAGCACAGAATAGATTAAAAATAATAAAAGATTAGATTTTCAGAAAAGCAGAGAAGTGTGAGGCTAGCCTAATTTATAGTGAGTTCCAGGCCCAGCCAGACAGAATTACGTAGTAAGACCTTGTCTCAAAAAAACAAAAAAAAGTAGTAGCTGGAAGGAATGACCTTTTATAGCACACTTTATGTTCAAAGTATGTGCGTTTTATTTTAAAATCACAGCGGATCTTGGATTCTCAAAATTTTTATGTTCCTTGAAGATATAAACTCTCACAATCTCCCATGTTCCTCATGTTCTCTTGGTACAAAATATTACAGCATAAAGAGAATTAGAATAAGTCAAACTAGACAGAATTTTTGTCATCGAATATTAAAATGTAAAGAATTTTCACCCCCCCAAATACAAAGAAAGCCCAAGTTACCATATATAAGACTTATACAGTATATTATATAAGGGTAGGTACATAGTCTAAAGACATTTAAGCCACATTTAATCAAATATTTTCCCCCTAAAAAAAAAACTGCCTTAGAAGTTGGACCTGGTGGCAAAGGCCTGTAATTACAGCTCTTTGGGATATTGAGGCAGAAGGACAAGTTCAAAGGCCTCTTTGGGCAATATAGTGAGAGAAACTGGTCTCAAAATGTAAAAGTAATTAAGATTCCATCTTACCCTAGTTAGATTTGCAAAGATCAAGAGAACAAAAGACTGCAAATGCTGGAGAGGATGTGGAGAAAGAGGAATGCTCATTCACTGCTAGTGGGAATGCAAACTCGTGCAACCACTGTGAAAAGCAGTGTGGAGAACCCTCAAAAAACTAAAAATGTACCTACCATATGATCCAGTGATACCACTCCTTGGCATATACCCAAAGGACTCATCTTACCTTAGAGATACCTACATATCCACATTTGTTGCTGCTCTCTTCACAATAGCTAAGAAATGGAAACGACCTAAATGTCTCTCAACTGAAGAATGGTTAATAAAAATGTGGTACATCTACTCAATGGAATTCTATTCAGCAGTAAGAAAAGATGAAATTATGAAATTTGCAGGTAAACGGATGGAACTAGAGAGTGTTATACTAAGTGAAGTAACACAAATACAGAAAAGCAAGCAACGTATGTTCTCCCTCATTTGTGGATTGTAGCACCAATCCCTCATATGTGAGTATATAAATTCTGATGTAACACCAGCAATCAGGTAAAGGCAAAAGATACATGGAGGTAAAGGAAAAGAAAGAACTTGAAAGGGGTACAGTAGGGAACAGACGTAACCTGAGGGAGGTGGAAAACGTGGGAGTAATTGGCAGGGAGGAGAGGAGGGAGGGACATGCAAGGGACCATGGTGTGGGGGAAGGAGAGAAGTCAGGAGAGGAAAGATGGCAGGGGCGGGGAGGTATGGGGGGGAGGGTGGGGATAATGGGGGCACTGTGACTAGGGAGGGAGGAGGGAAGCCGGATAGGAAAAAAAAGAGTGGAGATGAATGAATCCCCCGGGGGGGGGTACCTAGAGGGAAAAGTGATGCCCTAGAAACCCTATGAGAAATGCACAGAGTGTCTGAACATTAATGCACATGTATACCTGGGAGCTGCTTGGCAGGGAATGCAGTGACAGAAGAGACCTCCCTTAGAGTGAGAAACACGCTATACAGCATTCATCAAAGAAGCTTCTCCAACAGATGGAGGCTACTGCAGAGTTGCACATTGGGTCAGGCATACAGAACATATGCCTGAGAGATAACACATCTGCAGTCGAATCTCTACAACCAAGGCTCATGGAACATGGCAGAATAAAGGGTAGAGAGATGGCTAATGCACCCCTCAACTCTCACCAGTGAGGCTTCCATGTACATCAGAGTGTGATGCACACAGAAGGCCACAACTGGCCAAGTTTTAGAGAATAAGAGACTGCAAAGTGTAGGATGGGACTCCTATATGGAACCTCACCCACCCACGGCTCAGGGACCATTGTGGAAGAGGAGGCGGAAAGATTGTAAGAGCCAGGGCTGGTTCATGAACACAGGGAGGTAGTGGCCTCCAGGCCACTGGAGACTTGCTCATGTGAGCCTGTGGCAGTGGTGGAAAAGTCAAAGTAAAAAAGAGGGGGGGTTAGGGGTGGAGGTTGGGATATACCTCAGTGGTACAGGCCCTAGGTTGAATCTCTGGCACTATAGAAAAAGAAAATAGAGGTGGGATGGAGTAGGGTCAAAGGACATCAATACCAAAAAGCAAATTGCACTTTTGGAGTGATGAGTATGATTTAAAATTGATTGTGGTGATTTACTCTGCAGATATACTAAAACCTACTGAATTTTTAATCAGGGGATTTATACTGTATATGAGTTATATCTTTCTTCAACGTTTAATGTAGGGGACAATGTTATATGCCTATATGGTATAGGCTGTAGAAAGAGGAAGGCATAGTCCCACTCTTCCCCACCCAAAATGGGGCAGAGTTTGATTCTGAGTGCCATAGATTGGGAGAAGGTGATAGAGTTAATCAAATCCATACTAAGGCATGTTTACACTAGACATTATCTACATTATTCCACTCTCACCAAGTATAAATTAAATATTATTTCTCAGATGAGATAAAAGGGGCAAGAAACATTAAATAACTCATCCACAAATATTCTTTTACTTATTACAAGAACTCCTGGGCTGGAAAGATGGCTCAGTGGTTAAGAGCACTGGCTGCTCTTGCAGAGGACCCAGGTTCAAGTCCCAGCACCCACACAGCTGCTGACAACCGTCAGTAACTCCAGTTCCAGGGGATCTGATGCCCTCTTCTGACCTCCCTGAGCATTGTACAATGGGTGCACCTACCTACCTGCAGGCAATAACTCATACTCATAAAATAAAAATAAGTAAAATATTTAAAAAAAGAACTCTGAAACTCATGGTGTCTGTGTCCAAAGTTTTATGTCCAGAGAGGTTATACCCAAAATGTTCCATGTACATTAGACAGTAATTGGGATACAAAGAATTGAAATCTTGTCACAGAAAGTCTAGCCTGAGGAAGAGACCTGGGCATAAGGAAGCTGTTTTTTTAAACATACCAACACCTTGAGAAGTTAAAATCAGGTATTTTCTATAAATACCAAGGTTTCATTAGAATCATTAAGCGGTAACTAAAAGGTGGAAGAGACCTCTCTGGTCAGGCAGCTGTAACTGATGCGGGAAAGACAAGAGAAACAGACGCAGAGCTGCAGAACTGAAACAATTCTGGACACAAAGTATCTGATTAGACAGCCCTGGGGAGGGGCAGGGAAGGAAGACAGTAGAATCAAAGATATGTGGGAGAAGCAAAGAGGGCCTAGCTCCATGAGAATCTCGTCGGGCTCCTCCCGCCTACTCCCACGGAAGCGGCCTCTGAACTCACATTTTTCGCACACCATCCTTCCACGAACCAGCCGCTCCCTCAGGCGTCGGAGCAGCAGTCGCCACAAAACATCAACACCACAGCCTGAGAAGAATTCCCCTTCCGGTTACGTCAACCCATATCCGGTCTCTCAGCCTTCAGCTCTCTCCTATCCTATACCCGGAAAGCCGCGGGAGGAATAAATGCGACGGGTGGGCGGGGTTTCTTTCGTTGGCCCGCCCCCTTCCCCGCTACGATTGGCTGTTCACTTGTGCGTCTCCGCCTCCTGGGTCTGCGCCCGCGCGAGGGCCATGGCAGCCTGTCGCTCAAGAAGGTGGGAGGCGGTACTGCCCCCCTTGCCTTCCGCGGGCGGGAGTTAGGTAAGCGGTCCGGACGTCCCTCTCGCTGGCCTCGGGCGCGGGCAGGCCGCTCGGCCCTAGCAGCGTCTTCTCTGCGCGCCTGCCGCCTGAGCGCCAGGCTTCCGGCGGGACCCAGGGCTGCCCTGTGGGACCGACCGTCTCTGATCCCAGTGTCGGACTCTCCTTCAACCCACACTGGTGCTCTCTGATTACGCCCATCAGCTGCCCACACTCTCGGGTCCGAGGCTGAGGCGGAGTCCGCGCGACCCGGGGTCGGGAGGAGCTGCAGCCGAAGCCTCGTCAACTGGGCCAAGGCTGCTTGGGAGGGCTCAGAAGTCCCTCGTCGACGCTGCTGCGTCTGTCGACCTGGGTCACGTCAGCTCGCGACCCGAGACGGCGGCTGCGCGATGTCTGGGTGAGGGAACTCGGGGCCACCAGGGCAGGTGCCCCAGGGAGGGTGAAGACTGCACAGCCCCATTCAGCCAGCTTTGAGTTTGGTACTGATGCTGTATCAGATCCAGACATGCTGATGGCCCCGAAGCGCTGTCTACAGAGAGAATGAACTTCAGATCTTCGGGCTTGTCTGACCAGTCTGCGGAGGGTCTACCCGAGCAACTTTCCCTTGGTCCCCGCCAGCTAGCCGTTCTTTTCCCGACCCCTGGAGTGTATTTTTAAGTCAGAGGATAGACTTGAAGTGGCTTTTAGGGCATGTAACCTTGACCAGGTCTCCTAACTCGTTCATCCTGTTTCCTTAATCGGTGCCTTTGGATTGTGCGATTCTAATGAGGGCTGTTAGGACAACGTCCAGATTCGCCTCTTTGCTTTTCATGCCAACGTGCTTCCGCTTCTGTGTGTACTTTTTTTTCTGGGATATTTCTGTTTGGGGGATGTCAACCATGATATAACATTGACTGTTACTTTAATTAAGCTCTTAATTTTAGGCAATACAATGTATAAACTCTATTAGGTAATCTAAATATATATATTTAGAGACGGTAAACTTTTTTCTCCTCCCATTCACGGTCTACTTTTGACTAGAATTTGACATTTGTAACATATTATTTCGGTTTTTCGGGAGCTTTGGGAACCTTTCGTTTAGCACGATAATCGTCTAAACTATTGCTTTTACCACCATTGAATTCAAGTGCATACTTGGAGTCACTAGGTATTTGGTAGAGAATATGAACTATTCTGATTTCATCTTCCAAATTTTGGCAAAAAAGCAAATGAATTGCTTAATTGTCTGTGTCCCCTTTGCAGAAACCAGTAGCATATGTTAAAAATTACTACTAAATTTCAAAAAAAAATTTTTTTTTACTAAATTCCAAATCATTGCAAAAATCCTTTGTATCAAATTAGGGAACTCTAAGGTAGTATCAAATCTACATGAGCATTTACATACATGCATCTCCTGTGTTTTGAAACAAATACGTTGCCCATAAAAAATTTCTAGTTTGTAGCTTATTTTTAGAGATTTGAAGTGCTTGGGACAATGGGGAAAATCATTATTACATTTTTTCCCACTTTGATTTGATTTTCACTAGATAATCACCCAAGAAAACACCATGAAAGATACGGACATCAAGAGACTACTGTATACCAATCTTTTGTGCATCTTTTCAATTTTCCTAAGCATTTTTATTCCACCATTCTTCTTGGATAACTTCTCGGTATTGGAAACACACTTGATATGGTTGTGCACTTGTTCCACTTTTGTAACTGCTGTCAATCTCCTATTATATCTAGTAGTGAAACCAAATGTATCTTCTAAAAGAAGTTCATTATCACATAAGGTAAGGTTTACTTTTTATTTTATGTATATTTTTATTGAATTTTTGTGCATTTCATATTAAGCATCTTAATCATCTTTATACCCCTTCTCTCATCTGCATCCCTCCATATCCCCTCCCACAGGATTTCATGCATTCTGTCATATATGTTAAGACTTACTGAGTCGAGTTAGTGTCCCCAGACAATCCCTCAGTACAAAGGTCATCCACTGGGATCTAGTCAGCCTATCTAGAGTCTCTCCCTTAAAGATCAACTTTCCCTCAACTGTAGTAATCAACTGCCAATAGTTCTTCAGCTAAGGTTGATGCCTGCTGCCCATTTCCCCAGTTCTATGCTGAGTTTTTGTCTAATTGAGTTTGCATGGGTCTTGCATATGCTGACACCATTGCTGTAGGTTCATATGAGCAAGGTTCCAGGAGCCTGTAAGACTGTTTCCATATGCTCATGAACCTCCTCCCTGGGTCTTACAACCTTTCTGCCCCCTCTTCCACAATGGTCCCTGAGCTGTGGGTGGGTGAAGTTTAGTAAAGAAGTCCTGTCTGGGGACCTACATCCTGCAGACTCTTATTCTCCATGCTTTGACCATTTGTGGCCTTTTGTGCTTAACACTTAGTTGCATGAGGGAGCTACGTTGATGAGAGAATGCATTAGTATTCTCTCTATCCCTTTTTCTGCTATGTTCTGTGAGCCTTAGGTGTTAGAGGTTCCATTGTAGATATGCCACTTATGATTGGGGATCTCACAGACACTTGTTCTCTGTGTGTGACCAGTTGTGGAATTCTGTAATAGTCATCATCTGTTTCAAAAGAAGCTTCTTTGATGAGTGGTGACTGGCATACTTGTCTGTAAGGTAACATTTACTTCTTAATTACCAATCTTTAGATGGAGGTAGTGTTCTTTTAATGTAAGAATAAAGTATTATTATGACGCATTGAGTTATTTACACTGTATAAAGGGAGCCTGATTCTCCCCCCCAAGCAGTAACCTGTCACTTGTTGCCCACAATGTTTGAAAGATTCTTGTTGCACATCCATAGTAGAATTAGGACTCCTTCAGTGCGTCACAAATGTAAGCATTGTGAGCTTATATAATCAGTTTTTTGTCATCACTGAAGATAATTTATAAGACATTACAATTTCTTTTCATATATTTTTATACTTGTTTAAACGTGAGTGGGAGAGTACACATAGGAGAGTACACGTATGTTGCACATGCATGTGGAGGCCACAGGACAACCTTGGATGTCATCTTCTGGGACAGTGTCTACTTCCTTTGAGACAGGGGCTTTCATTGGCCAGGAGCTCACCAATTACACTGGCTGGCCAGCAAACCTCTGAGATCTTTGTCTCTCCCTCCCTAGTGCTGGGATTCTAAGTGTGCCACCGTACTTGGGCAGTTTAACATGGGCTCTAGGGATTAAATTCAGGTCCTTGTGCTTAGCTATCCCCCAGTCCATATATATTTGTTTGTTTTGTTTTTTGAGCTGACCTGGAATTCCCTATGTAGACCAGGCTGGCCTCAATCTCACAGATATCTTGGCCCGCCTCTGCCTTTCAAGAAAGGCATGTGCCACCAAACCCAGCCCATATATTTAAATATATATATACATGTATTCTTTGAGATTTTTATACATGCATATAATATTTTTTGATCATATTCATCTTCCACTCTATTCCTTCGCCCTGCTCCCAACTCATATCCATTTGTTGAGTCCAGTTTGTACTGCCTATATATTCGTGGATGTGGAGCTTGCACTGGAGCGTGGTCAATCTATGAGGGACCACACCCCTAAAGAAAACCAACTCTTCCTCCCCTAGTAGCCATTAACTGTCAGTAGCACCTCAGCTAGGGATGGAGACTGAGCCCATTTTTTGCACTTCTAATACAATAAATGAGTTTTTCAGAAATTGTGAATTAAGCCATTATATTCATGTTTAAATCATGGCCTTCTTTGACTAAACAAGTTTTCAGATATTAGAATCAATTTTCTGGAATAGTCCCTGACAATTATGTTAAATTTATAAAGTCCTCACTTAACACTTAATACTATATACGACCCTCTGTTTGATAATCTTAAACCCTTTATTGACTTTGCTTTAAAATATTTAATATGAGTTTTAGAATTGTATTTTCTTTAAGTTTCAGATCAAGCATATCCATACATGGGCCTTTTTGTAGACATTCAGGTCTTTATTTTATATCATTTATTCAGTAATATGAATATGATTTGGGAAATTAATATTTTACTTTTTGGTACAGTTTTTTCAGTTTTATTTTAAAATTAAAGAAGTATAGTAGTTATTAAATAAGGTCATTGTGAATTTTGTATCCTAGCATTCTGTTATCAATATTTCATAAATATTGGTTAAGAGTATCATATAAATACCCTAGAAACAAATCGGTTTTGATTCTCATGTTGGTTTGGTGAATAGATATATTTGTATAATATTTGCCTTTTGAATTAAAAAAATTTGATTACATTTGTGTGTGTGTGTACGTGTGTGTGTGTCTACTATCTGAGTGTTTGTGGTCCAGGGGCAACTTGTGGGAGTTGGTTCTCCCCTTCCACTCTGTGGGTCCTAAGGATTGAACTCTGGTTATCTGGCTTGGAGGCAAACCCCTTTACCCACTGAGTGATCTTATTGGCCCTATCCTTTATGTGTTTTACAGTCTGTTTTTGACACAATTTTAAGGGCTGTGTATGTGACTAGGCACAAGATGTGATCTAATTTAAGGTTACCCAACAAAAGAATGTTCAAATGTTTCAGACAGTGTGGGATCAAGTTATATTTGTAGAGTTAGGTGTGGTTGGTCCATGCCTTTAATACCAGCAGAGGCAGGCATCTCTCTGTAAGTTCCAGGCCAGCCTTGTCTACATGGTGAGTTCCAGGCCAGCCAGGACTACATAGTGAGACCCTCCCTGTCTTAGAAAACAAAACAAAACAAGACAAAACAAAACAAAGTTATATTTGTGGTTAAAATGGCAGAATTTATGACTTTTTTTTTATATTTTCTTAGTTTCAAATTATTCATTCTCTTTTAGGTAACCAGAGTTTTGAAATGCTGGATCTACTTTCTTATGTCCTGCTTCTTCCTTCATGTGATTTTTGTTCTATATGGTGCACCACTAATAGAGTAAGTTTTAAATTTTTACTTTAAATTTATATTTTAATACATTCATTTACTAAATGATATGCTAACTCTTAGGAACTAGAGGAAAAACTATAGTGTATTTAATTAATGGATTAAGATAGAAAACAAGGCCAGGTATGGTAGCACACGCCTTTAATCACAGCACTTGGGAGACAGTGGCAGGTGGGTCTCTGTGAGATCAAGGCCAGCCTAGTCTCCATAGAAGTTCCAGGCCAGCAGGAGCTACAGGGAAACCCTGTCTTGGGGGAGGGGGGGGAGATAATATCAATCTTTTTAAAAATTACTGTTATTCTTTTAAAAACAATTGAATAACTTAATTTCATACATACTTATCTAACTTTCAGATACCCAACTACATATTGTGAGAAGGGCAGGCAGATGAGAGATTATGCTATAGTAATAAATATATGGCTCTTTAGAGACCTCTAAGTGTCCAACCTTTTGACATTATAATGTGATTTTGTCATCTACACAGTTTGCATTCAAGAACCTTGAAGTTGAGTTACAAAAACAAAACAAAACAAAAACCCACCTCAAAAAAAAACAACAAAAAAACAACTCAATGTTTTAAATAAGGTTATGATTTTATGTTGGGATGCATTCATAACTATCCTGGGCCAAGCACCACAGGCTGAATACTCCATGATTTTTGCAAGGTACTCAGTATCATGTTATGTATATGTTGGTTATAACTATCATACCAGTGATTAGTAAATATAGTTCTAAAGTAACTGAAGTTATTTGCCTAAGGAACATAAATAGATTTCTGTATCCAGATAGTTAACAAGTTAATGTTTATATGTAAAATTTAACTCAACAGTTTTTCAAAACTGACCAATTTGAAATTAGTGGAAACTAAATCTACAAATATTTCTTATATAATGAGAAACTTCGGTTTAATCATGATTAATGATTATGATGAAATGAGTGATTATACATATACACACATACATATATAGCTATATATGCATTTGTTTATATATACACACATATACATAATTATATATATATAAATCAAACTAATGGGTTATTCTTTCTTAGGGAAAGAAAAGTCCTTTATCATGGAAAATGGTAGTTTCTGCCTTAAACCATGTTTGAGTGGAATCAGTGAATAGACAATATAATTGCATAGTTCAAGATTTTGTCAAAATGCAAATTGTCAGGCCTCAATCAGAAACTCTGGCAGTGGGACCTGCTAGGTTTTATTTTAGGATCTCCAGGTGGTTCCAAAATAAAGTTGAACTACTTTTTTTTGGGGGGGGGGTCTTTTTGAGACAGGGTCTCCCTGTAGCCCCAGCTGTCCTGGAACTCACTATGTAGACCAGGCTGGCCTTGAACTCACAGAGATCCACCTGCCTCTGCCTCCCAAGTGCTGCGATTAAAGGTGTGCATCACCATGCCCAGCTGAACTACCTTTTTTTTAAAGAGAAAATTTCAGAGATTGTTAAGGAAGAAAGCTAATTAGCTCAGAATGAGATTTCTTACAGGGAGGTCTCAGCATGGATCTTCAGATTTTTCACATTTCTGAACTCTATTATTAAAACCAGGCTATTTACTAGGTTGATTTTTAAAGCTAGTACAATTATAGTCACTATTTTGGTGGGACTTAGGTAACTTTTCAAAGGAAAGTATAAGAAGATATTTACATATTAAATCCACTTATATGTGTGTGTGTATTTATACATACTTTTAGCATGTTTTAAATAGTCAACAAAGTTCTCTTTTTTTCTAGGTTGGTGTTGGAAACATTTTTATTTGCAGTTATTTTGTCTACTTTCACTACAGTACCTTGTTTATGTTTGTTAGGACCAAACCTCAAAGCATGGCTAAGAGTTTTCAGCAGAAATGGGTAAGTTTAAATTTTTTATTTTAGTGATGTTGTTAGTTTAAAATAATTAATGAAGTATTTTCCTGTGCATTGTCAGTGTGCTCATTTTCTTATGAGTGTGTCTAGTCATTGTATGGCTTTCAAAGGTGCCAATGCAATTGGAGAATGGAGATAGAATGTTCAGAGAATGCCCCAGGTGGGTAGAACCACAGATTCCTCCTTCCACATTAGCAACATCAGGTAGCTGTGCTTTTTTCTGTATGTTAAACTTCCACTTGACCTTTTGTTTGAAAATAATGTTTCTGCCACCAAAAGAAAGGTTTGAAACCCACTGGGTTAATGAGGCACTCTGATAAAGTACTACAAATATAATTGCTTATTTACGTTTTATAAAGAAAGAAGTTCATAATGTAGGAGCATTTTGTGTAACAATAATCTCTTGTTTAGCCTTTTTTTTTTTTTTTTAAATCACAAGATAGCAGAGTGCAAGTTTCATAGGATTTTTTTTCCCCCAGTCTTTTTGAGATAGGGTTTCCCTGTAGCCCCAACTGTCCTGGAACTCACTATGTAGACCAGGCTGGCCTTGAACTCACAGAGATCCACCTACCTCTGCCTCCCAAGTGCTGGGATTAAAGGTGTGCATCACCACTTTTATTGCCAGATAGGGTCTCTCTCTATTCTTGGCTGGCCTGGAATTCTATGTAGATCAAGCTAGCCTCCAACTCACTGGGATCTACCTGCCTCCCAAGTGTTGAGGTTAAAGGTGTGTACTAGCACACCAGGCTAAGATTGTAGTGTAAAGGTACTGAAATGATATGTGCTAGAAATGGTTAATTTCTAACTAAGGAAATCAGGATATTATTTAGTTCTCATAGTTTTATCCTATTTATGACACAGCAGCAAAAACCTTTTGAGTGCTTTCTTTGTGTCCCCTATTATTCTAAGCTCTGTGGATTCGAGAGTATTTAGAAGATTGCTTTTACCCCTGAGGAGCTTGCATGTTCAAGGGATAAGAATAAAATGAGCAAATAGTAAGAGACTCACAGTCTATAAATTCACCACAGTGCTTAGGAACAGAGGAATAGAAAGGAAGGGAGATGAGGTGGGGGTGATCTGATGGACTTGGATCAGAAGTCTAGGATTTGATGAGACAAGAAAAGGAAAGATACCGTATGCAGGAGTTGGGAAGCATAGAAACTGAAATAAAGTTGGTATTTTTTAACATAATTTGGAAGTTAACAGCTCAAGGAGACCAGAGGATGGGTGCTGCATAGCTTGGCTCCACAAATTACTTTTTCCTTTGGAAATGAGTATTGGTTATTTTGTATATATATGTGTATGTGTTTTTGGTCTTGCTTTGTTTTGTTTAATTATTTTTCTGGAACCATCTTCTATTCATAAAATTTCTAGGAATAAAAGCATAACAACTGAATTTTTTCCTTTGTTACCATAGTATACCAAATGCAATTAATTTAATATTTTACTTTGAAAATGTTAAATTGTGAAATTGGTTGAAACCTTAGTTTAGATTAATGATTTATCCAGCTTTGACTTTTGTATCAAAATGGTATCTTTGGGAGGAGTGAACACTGTCATTTTGTTTTACAGTTAGTTCTTTGTAACTTGACCTATGTGCTCCTAAAACTCACCATACTTTTCTAAATTAGGCAATGAAGCCCACAGAGCTTCCTTATGGGGCAGGATGGGGTTAGAGGCATAATGCTTGGAAACTTCATTAGTGACACACAAAAAAAGCAAAAATGGTTGCACAGTGAAATGGTTAAAGACACATAAATATTACATTAAAGATGACTCTGCCTAGGAAAAGACTTGGTATGTTCTTTGTGAGTTATGGTGAAATAGTGAAGCATGGTTGTTGGAAATCTGACCCTGAGTTAACACCAGATGTAGATGTGTCATGTATCATGTTTGTTACTCATGATACATAAAGTAAAAGTTGGGAGGTATATATTTAAATTACATTTCTTTCTTTCTGTATGCATATGTATGTGGGTATGTGTGGGGACACACTTGTACCAGAGCACACATATGGAGGTCAGAGGACAACTTGGGAGACTTAGTTCTCTCTTTCTACCATGTGGGTCCTGGGGATCAGCCTCTCGTCAACAGGCTTGGTGGCAAGCACCTTTATTTGCTGAGGTACTTTGTTGGCTCATGTGTGATTTATTTTTAAACAGTATTGAGATGATTCACATACCATAAATGTCACCTACTGAAAATGTATAATATAATGGTTTTCAGTATATTCAGAGAGATGCAAACCCATCACCAGAGCCAGTTTTAAACATTTTTATCACCTCAGAAAGCCCTGCATTCTTACCTCCTTATCCCTATCCTGCTTCCAGTCCCTAAGCAACCACTAATATCCTTGCATCTCAGTAGAGTTGCCTGCTATGGACATTTCATACAAATGAATCATATAATTTGTAGTATTTTATGATTTCTTTCACTTAGCATAATGTTTTCAAAGTTTGTCCACGTTGTAGCATGTATCCATAATTCATTTCTTTCTATAATGGTGTTAGGGATTAAACCCAGGGCCTCATGCATGTGAAACAAGCAGTCTACCAACTGAGCTAAATCCCTAGCCCTATTTATGTTGTTAAAAAAAATCAAGTTTAAACATGTGTGTAGTATGCTACCATTTATGCAAAAAATTGGCCAGGTGGAATTAAATAGAGTCACGTATCTCTGGAAGAACTTGATGAAACATCGGATGTCTCTGGGGAAAGCATCTGAGAAGCTAGTGACAAGATAAAGGGACTTCTCATTGGATCTTCATGAAGATGAACTTGATTCATATCAATGTGCTTACCTAGTCAGCATGAAAGCTATAATGAGTTAGGTCTTGCCAATATTTAACTTATATCCTGGTTATTAGAAGTTACGCCTGTTAAAGGAAGTTGCTAAATTTCTCTGATGACATGTAATCATCAGGAAGCTATAAAAACTACCCTTCCAAAATTTCTCACATCAAATTGCAAAACAGGTAAGCTGCTAGAGGACAATGGCTAAAAATTTCCAATTTGTAATACAAACCATTTCATTTAATATGCAAGAAATGACATGAAACTAATAATAAAGTATTTTCATAACTTTTAAAGCATATTCATGAAACTTGGGGCATTTCTCAGAGATACATCACTATGTTCTTCATGAAAATATTAGAAATCTGGCACATTAAGTGTTTTGCCCAAGCTCCATAGCTAGTAAGTGACTGAGCTGGGACTTGAATCTAGATCACCTCACAATACAGAAGTAAGAAGACTCCAGTAGCAGAGGGTCAGAAAGTGGATTCTTGTCCTTTATATAGTGGCCATGTGATCTCAGACAAGCTACTTAGCTTCGTAAATTCCCATATGTAATATGATTAGAATAAATCATAATTTGCAGTTATTGCCAGAAGTAAGATAATGAGTGAAATCATGGCAAGTGCTCAAGAATGTTTGTCAGATGTATTAATAAAGATCAGAAGCATCTATATATTTCCAACCCTGACAACAATTTGTCTCAATTCTGTTTACTTTAGGTAACAGACCTATGAGTGCAGCACATAGATACCACAGAGAAGGAGTGATGAGTAATGGCTTTGTCAGTTCATTTAGTGTGACGTTCATGTGGATCTGGTCATGAGAGTGGAACTAAAGTCTTCATGTCTCCACTATTCATTGGTGTAATTATAAGTATTCAAATGAAACTAAGATGCTCACTGTGAACAGGCCCATTTTGAATTGACAAGACATCTCAAGCAGTTTTGAATCAATGTAAATATTTTATACTCTTCTAACAGAAATAACTTTATATACTGTTTAATATATCTATTTGCATGTTTATATAAAACTTAATGCTGAGCAGATGATAATCATATAGAAACTGAGGACATAAAAGCTTTGGGCTTGAAAACTGAGAATTATATGCTATGAGTAAAGGGTCAGTTTTCATACTTTGGAGATTTAGGGCATAGTTAAATGACACTATCTTAATGGGGTTTTTCCTTAAAGTTAACATGAAGTTATTCCAGAAAAGCAAAACACAACCCCAAGAGAATATTATTGTAAAGAAACTTGTAGAAAAGTCATTTAGTTTCTTAAATACTTTGCTAGCTTCTCAATGGCATGCATATTACTGCAAATGCTTGATGTGTAATGATTTTTTTTGATTTACTTTATTGTATATGTATGGGTGTTATACCTGCGTGTATCTAAGTGTACCCATGTTGTGCTATGCCATGGAGGTCAGAAGAGGGCATCGGATTCCCCTGGAACTGGAGTTAAGGATGGTTTGTAGCCGCCATGTGGGTGCTGGGAATTGATCCCGGGTCCTCTGCAAGAGCAGTCAGTGCTCTTAACCTCTGAGCCATCTCTCCAGCCCCTTGATTTGTAATAATTTAATTCAGTCTCTTGCTTTGTTGTAATTATTGTGACATATACACTTCCATTTGTAGACTTTCTTTTTGTTCTTTCCTTTGTTTTTTTTTGTTTGTTTGTTTTATTGTTGTTGGTTGTTTTGAGATAGGGTCTCCCTGTAGCCTCAGCTGGCCTGGAACTCACTATATAGACCAGGCTGGCCTGTATCTCACAGAGATCCACCTACCTCTACCTCCCGAGTCCTGTGATTCAAAGCATGTACCACCATGCCCAGCTATTTGTAGACTTTCTTACAAAGGAAAGTAGTAATCTGATTATCATAGACCCATGTTTTTTATTGAATTTTGCTTTTTAATTGGTCAGATTTTCTTATGCTGTATTTGAAATGTCTAAGTTAATACATGATCACTTTTGGTGAGCTAAATATGTTCCTGGATAGGACTATGCTCAGATCTGTGGGATCATGCCAAGGTAAAAACTCTGAGCAAGACTTGTTCTTATAAGTAAAAACAAGCTTCTTTTGGTCATCTTTGTATTGAAATAGACTTTATATTGTGAAAACTACTGTGGACATTAAGTGTTGAAAAGATAGTGAATGACCAAAGATTTACTGTTCAAGGCCAGACTGGTCTA